ACGTATGTAACTGATTCGAAACAGTAGGTTTTCAACACCAAAAAAAACTGGCTTACTATCACTTTTAGGTATATGTTACAAATGGATGACTTTTTTATTCTGAAACGGTAATTTAAATTTTTTTTTTTTTTTGGAAATAGGTAATTTAAATTTTGAAAACCTTTAGAATTTAATCCTCAATTCATGATTCTAACCGTTAGCATTTATACTTAAATTTATGATTGTTTCATACTAATTTAATTACTTTTTATTGTTGTAAGACATCACATGCTAATGAAATTTCTTTTCTTGATACACTTTTTACCATAATAGTATAATACTTGTCTAAGTGAAATTATAGGTAGGGATGAGAATGGGCCAACTCGCTGATCCACTCCAATTCATTTGTAACTTGAAAAAAATAAACCAAGTTAGAATTGGTTAAAAAAAAAATGAGACAGAAAACTCAACTCAAATACACCCGAACCGAGTTAAGGTAGACTCGCGGGTTGACTCAAAAAAATAAAATAAAAATAACCTAAAAAAAATGAAAAAAAATGATAATTGAAATAAAATCAAAAAATATTAAAGCTTAAACAAAATGAATGTGATATAAGATAATTAAAATTGCTAAACATAAACTTACATAAAAAAAGTTTATACCTTATTTGAAAAGATCTGTCACTTTAATATATATTTTTTTCTATTTTTTAATAAAAAGTAACTCATGAGCTGATCTATTTGACTCGTAGATTGGTTCATTTTTTTGAATTGACTCGGATTATCAATTTATTTTTTTCAATTCAACCTCACTCGTTTTATGCGTGTTTTTATTTTTGACATCTCTAATTATAGGAAACTCTTCCTCTTTCTATTTTTTAAAATAAACAATAGCTACCCTAAGAACTAAGAAGTCAAAATGAAGGAGCAGTTAGAGAACAAATAAAATAAAATAAAATAATAAGAGAGAGCGTGTGGCCGTGGGTGTGACTTGTGAGTGGACAGGGCAGAACAATTGATGTGTGGGGACAAAGCTATCAATTTTTTTATGGAAAAATTTCAAAAAAATTCCTATAAGTTTCTTTAAAATCACTTACCTTCTTCCTCAAAAAATTTAATTATTTATACTCTTACTTAAAACTTTTTTATCACTTACTCCCTTAACTTGATTTTTCATCCAAATTAAAGTTAACGGTGTTAATTTAAAAAAAAAAACCAAAACTACCCTTAAAGAAAAGTAACACACAGCACTGTACCTTATCGCTGTAAGAGATAGTCATTGAGGGGTGGAGCCCTAATCTTCTGACGCTCCACCGCCCCTGCTTCTGATTAGCTGCTTATATAATATGCTAATATTGATAGATAGCTACAAGAGGAGAAAAACATATTGATGCCTCCTTAGCACCTGATAAAGGTTCATTGATTTGAAGCTGCTTGTTGCTGTCCAGTTTTTTTTTTTTTTAGTTATGCTTGAAAGGAGATTTTTTTGAAGCTTGTTGTTATTTTTCTAGATTTTTTGGAAACCCATTTTTGTTGTTGTCCAGACATGTTATCTTATGGATAATAGTTAATGAAATTGGTCCTTTAATTGATTTTTTTGCTGTCCATTTTTTTTACTTGCCGAAAATATTTACACCTTTGGTCCTTTAACTAATATATGGAAGAATTGAAAATTCGCTCATCTTTGACAAACGAAAGGTGAAACATATAGTGGGGCTGGAAAAAAAATTACAAGATAACAAAAAATCCATGTTACTTGAATGATAGTTTTCAGTAGATCATTGACGATAGTTTGTTATCTCTTGCTAGTAATAAGGTGTCGAGAGGTTAATTTTTTTTTTAAGGGTAGTGTTGGTATTTTTTTAAAAGACTAACACCGTTAACTTTAATTTGGATGGAAAATCAAGTTAGGAAGATAAGTGATAAAAAAGTTTTAAGTAGGGGTGTAAATGATTAAAATTTTTGGGGAGGAGGTAAGTGATTCTGAAGAAATTTATAGGGTGTTTTTTGAAGTTTTCCCTTTTTTTATTTAAAAATTAAAATATTTAATGGAAAAAATGTGTGTTATTTTAAAGGATATAAAGTTATGTAAAAAAAAAAAGATATAAAGTTGTGTCATTTTAAGTGAGAGAAAGAGATAGATAAAGAGGGAGGGAGAGTGGACAAAAAAATAAAAATAAAGGTGTGAGTCTCATCTCTTTGTGAGAGTGAAATGATATAAGTTGTGTCATTTAAAAAAACAAACATTTTTCTCATATTTAATTATGCATTTTATTTCTTTTTCTAGTGAAGACAAAATTTGGTAATCGCAACTCATTCATGATTCATGATTCATTTTGATTTTTTATTTTTTATATATATTTTATTATTTTCTATTATTAATACTATAGCCTATATCATACCATCAACAATTTACCTTTAGTTTTTTTTTTCTTTTAATTATTAGGAAAAAAGACCAAAAGGCTGGCTATTAATGATATCCGCATAGCACGCTTCTAATCTTAATAAACAAAAGGCACATAGCATAGCCCCACAAACCACAAAATAACTGTAAACCGTATTTGGAGCTCTGTACTGAATTTTTCTCACCCAATCAAACATTCCTCCCTACAAGAAAAAAAGTATGGGATACTATCCTCGGAAAGCAAAATTGCATTCCTTAGTTCCAACATGTTAACACAGCTCAACTCTTTGTGCATGTGCATCTCATCATTTTTTGAGGAAAAAGGATCTGCAATAACACATTAAAATGAATTATTGTTCTTTGGTGAGTTAAACTGAGCCTACCCGGCAGTTCAGTGGGAGGAAAATAATTAAGTGGTGCAGGCTATTTAACTATGGGGTTTGATTTTCTCATGTTGCATGAGAATTCAATTCTCATGACTCAACTAGTGGTGGATCCCACATTTATTAAAAAAAGAAAAAAAAAGAAAAGTTTTGCACGCAAATCGAAAGATCACAACATGAGAATTGAATTCTCATGCAACATGAGAAAATGTTTTCCCTTTAATTATTTGGTGGTCCCTTTCACACGAGAGAATTTTGTTCTCTCATTTTTATCCCTTCCATTTTTTTTCTTTTCCCATTTTGCTCCCTTATTTTGAGAGAAGGAACACCTAAAATTTCACGAGTCAGGAGCAATGCAATTCCTCTGGACACATAAATACTTCCGTCGCAAAGATATTGGTTTAAAAAAAGTGGGACCCATAATTAAGTGGTCCAAGTCCACTTAATTATCCTTTTTATTTTTCTTTTCTCATTTTGCCCCTTTATTTTGAGAGTAGGAACACCCAAAATTCCATGGATGAGGAGCATTGCAATTCCTCTGCCGGTGGAAGGCTCAAATAGGCCAATCCAATCAATACAAAACAATAATATTGTATTGTTTTTTATTATCTCCTCCCTCCCTCCATGCTCAATCCCCAATAATTTCGACACGTTTTCCATTTTAATAATGAAAAGATTCAGCTAAGTCATTAGATATGATTTAGGCTATATGTATTAATAACTAAATTTTTTTTTTAAGATAAGCCGTGGATGGATGGTATTTTACGTCGAAAGTATTGATAGTTTTTATATAAATTAAAAAAAAAAAACCCTAAACGGTTCATTTAGCAATAGATGAAAATGTAATATCTTAAGTAAACACATAGTTACATGGTCAAACCTTAGTTATACTAATTATTTTGGATTTGGCTATAGAAAATATCTTTGTGAATTCTTTACTCATATATGACTTGCTTTTAACAAGATGGAAGAAGTGGATTAGTTAAAAAGTGCTGAACATATCACTCATCATAATAATAAAAGAAAAGAAAAGAAAAGTATGTGTCATTTTAAAAGATATAAAGTTGTGTCATTTTAAGAGAGAGAAAGAGATAGATAAAGAAGGAGAGAGAGTTGACAAAAAAATAAAGGTGTGGGTCCCACCTCTTTGTGAGAGTGAAAGAATATAAGTTGTCATTTAAAAGGATAAACATTTTTCCTATAAAAAATACAAATTCAACTGTAACCAATTATGTAAAAGTAATATACAGTTACTCATTTATATTGAATTATTAATAAATGGAGAATGTTATATTTACAAACTTTTTGTTTACAAACTCTTACAAATTACATTAAGTATGACCGGTCATACTTCAATCAAGAGTGTATCACCGGTCATACTTAGTATAATTTATAAAAAAAAAATTATAAACAAATCCTTCCTCTTAATAAATTATCCAACAAAAGTATCACCATTAGTTAGGCGAAGTAATAAGCGAACCACATCCTAAGTAAAAGATAAAGTTTGAACTTTACGATAAGCAATTCTTAATCAGGGAAATATGTGTTGTGGTCGAGGACCACCTAATAATTTGGTGCTCCCTTTCATGACACCAATTTTTTCTTTTTCTTTCTATTTTTGTTATTTTTTTTCTTTCCCAATTTTACCTTCCCATTTACACTAAAGGCTTGTTTGGGAGTTAATTTTAGAAGGGAAATGAAAGGGATGAAATGAAAGGGTTTTATTAATCCCTTGTTTGTGAATTTAAAAAAGTAAGGGGAAAGATTTAGGGATTTTCATAATACCCTCCAAAACTCTTATTGTTTCTAACATTAAAGTTCCTCCAATTTGTGAGAATACCGTTTATTTCCCTTCCCTTCCTTCTCTCCCTTCCCCTTGAATTCTTTTCCTTCCCTTTCCTTCTAAACTCCCAAACAAAGCGCAAGGGACTACCTAAAAAATGGTAGTCCCGGATATGTAATCAGTTGCGGCTGTATTCACGTGATTACTGTCACAACTCACAACTCACAACAACGAGAGGGGAAAAAAGTAGTAGAAGTGAATTTAAGGTTAGTTTGACAGTGGAGGGGATGCTTGTAGCATGATTGAGATAGTATTGGCTTGGACTTTGGTCATGGAATAAATTATTCATTTGCATCGATTTGTAAAGTTAATTCACTTTCTTCCACTATAAATACTCTTTGGGGGAATTGGCATAGTCATATACATCTAATCCTCCTTAAAGCTTTTTTCTTCTTGTCATTTTTTGATATCCTGTGGCAGTGTGGCAGTCTGGCAGATATGGTCTCCTTAAGGCCATGCCTTCTTTTCATTCTTATCTGCATTTTGATAATTAATCAGGCATATTCCAAGAATGATCGGAAGGCAAATATATGCATACACATCTCTTATTATTATTTACTACGTACAATACATAGTTAATCAAGACAAGACGTTCACGGTTCTTAAATTTCCTCCCTCTAATTTGATCATATGATTTTCTGATTACAGACTTATATTGTCTACATGGGTGATCATCCTAAGGACATGGACTCCACATCCTTACCTTTTCTTCATATGGACATGGCTCAAAAGATCCATGGCAGGTTGAACATTATGTTTCTATTGTCTAATCCATTTTTGAAGTTTTAGAAATACTTCAAAAATAATCGTACAATACCACATATGTAATATCTTTTTTACTGTATAGTGTGAAGCCTAACTGCAATAATGAAAATACAGCTAGATTTTGTTTCTTATCCAAGAAGAGTATCATAAAATTGATCATCCAATTTGTGCATGCAACCAGTGATTTTGCACCAGAAGCTATACTTCACAGCTACAAGAGCTTTAATGGGTTCGTCATGAAGTTAACAGAAGAGGAGGCGGAAAGAATGGCAGGTACTATAATCTCCTTTTAACCCCACAATTGCTTAAAATATATTCACGCTAGCTCTGTCTTGTGTTTCTCGGATATTAAAGCACACTGTTAATTTCTTTGGTATTAAAAAGAAATGGACACTGTCGTCTCTGTTTTCCCAAACAAAAAGAACCGTCTTCACACAACAAGATCGTGGGACTTCCTAGGCTTTCCCCAGCAAGTCAAAAGAACAAGTATTGAGAGTAACATAATTGTTGGAGTATTAGACAGTGGAATTTGGCCAGAGTCTGAGAGCTTCAGCGACAAAGGATTTGGTCCACCACCAAGCAAATGGAAAGGTTCATGCCATAACATTACCTGCAACAAGTAATAAATTAAATAATCTCTTTTGTATATAAATACAGATTTCAATTTAACCCTTTCCGAAAAAATTATAATTTTTATTAAAGCAAGTCAGCACTTATTATATATATGCAGCAAAGTGATTGGTGCAAAATACTTTAATATCGAAAGTGATTATACCAAAGAGGACATAAAATCTCCTAGGGATACAGAAGGGCACGGGTCACACTGTGCATCAACGATTGCTGGAAACATGGTTAACCATGCAAGTCTACTAGGCTTTGCCAGCGGAACAGCCCGTGGAGGAGTTCCATCAGCACGAATTGCTGTGTACAAAATATGTTGGAAATCTGGTTGTTCAGATGCTGACACACTTGCAGCATTTGATGAAGCAATTGCTGATGGAGTTGACTTGATTTCTACATCAACGGGAGCAGCTGAAGTAGTACACTATGAGTATTTTGAAGATGCAATTAATATAGGAAGTTTCCATGCAATGAAAAGAGGCATATTGACGTCACAATCTGCTGGTAATGAGGGTCCGGAGCTTTACTCTATGTCAAATTATCCCCCTTGGTTACTTTCTGTTGCTGCTACCACTATTAACAGAAAGTTCCTTACCAAGCTTCAATTGGGCAGTGGCATGGTTTATGAGGTATCATTATTTAAACAACTTACACTAACTCTTATTCTTAATATAAAATCGAAAGAAATATTAATTTTTTTTTTGGTCGACTCTGCCATATACACAGGGGGTTTCAATTAACACATTTGATCTCAAAAGCAAAATGTTTCCCCTGATTTTATTTCCCGGGTATTGAAATGTGAATTGTTATGCGATTTTTCTTTGTCACCACTTCATATATTTATATTAATATATTAATATATAAATATATATTATTGATCAGGATTTGGAGCGATAAGACTTTGGATAAACGTTTGGTGAAGGGAAAGATCATTCTATGTTATGGCTTCAACGTTACAGACGTTAGGTTTTTGTCTGGTGCGGTTGGTGTTATTGTTGGAGCCATTGGTGCGAAAGACCGAGCAAGTGCATATGCCCTGCCTGCCACTGTTCTCACTGTCAACGACTTCAGACTCGTAAATTCTTACATTGATTCAGCGGGGTATAGGTCCCTATGCACTTAATTATAAAGTTTAATGTTCATTCCATGTCATGTAATTATGTATTAGGAAATTATTTATATAGTTCGATTATTCAATAACTATCTGAAAAGTCTTTTTTTTTTTTTTAAGAATATTTCAACACATTATTGAATGAAAAAGTGCATTAAATGTTTTTTTTTTTTTTTTTTTTTCCCGGTATCTTCAAGATATTAATTTGTTAGCAAAATCTTTATTTAAATGTTAATTCACTGACTTCAACCTTTCTCATTTAACATGCTACTAATTAGCAAAAATGCAACAGCCACCATATTCAGGAGTGATGAAGTCAATAATTCGTCTGCACCTTACATAGCTTCGTTCTCATCAAGAGGTCCAAATCCAATTACTCCAAACATTCTTAAGGTAACATCAATGATTAGTATAATCCATATCAATTTGTCGTCTTGAAGCTGTCAAATGCTCATTGCAGTTATTTGTTGATATTGTAGCCTGATCTCGCTGCCCCAGGTGTTAATATTATAGCTGCATATTCTCCAATGAACCCAATTTCAGATGTCGAAGGTGACAAAAGACTAGTAAACTATAATGTAATTTCTGGCACTTCAATGGCTTGTCCTCATGCCGCTGGGGCAGCTGTATACGTCAAATCATTTCACCCCAATTGGTCTGCTGCTATGATCAAGTCTGCCTTGATGACCACAGGTAATGACTTCTCTCCATTTATATATGTATATAAGCAGCAAATAAACTAAATCTTAGTTATTGATTAATTTACCTATGTCTATTGCTTCATATATCTAATAAATTAAAATTCTCGAGTATAAACAAAATCAACATATAAGATTATAATTTATAATAATGTAAAAGATTTCTTTTATATATATGTAAAATCATTTCTCCAGTCGTTTTACTTATAGTTGTGACAATTGTATGATTATGATTCTTCACATTAAATATTTTAACCTATATATATGAAAAATTTGTCACTGCTGGACGTAAAGCGGCTAAAGAAAAATCAAACCATATATATATATAAATATATATGAGGTAGGATCATTTGACACCGGTGTCAAATTTTAAATTTGACACCTCATCTAAGAGCCGTTAGATAAAAAAAGATCAATGGTGTCACATGCTTACAAATCAGAGTCGTTGATCTTTTTTGATCTAACGACTCTTAGACGAAGTGTCAAATTTGAAATTTGACACTGGTGGCAAAGGATCCTATCTCTCTCTATATATATATATATATGTATATGTATATGTATACAGGACAAAGTAAGAATTTCTTTATCATTCTTGCTTGATATGTCATATAATTAGTCAGCAAAGTATGACCAGGTAACATGTTAATTTATGCTGCATTCCAATTAACAGGTACTCCAATGAGTGCTGCTCTTAATCCTGAAGCTGAATTTGCATATGGGGCAGGGGAAATTAATCCACTTAAGGCAGTAAATCCTGGTTTAGTATATGATATTAGCGAAGCAGATTATGTCAAGTTCTTATGCGGTGAAGGGTATACAAATAAAAAGCTCAGAGTACTCACTCAAGATCATGCTAATTGCAGCAAAAAAGTTAACAAGGTAGCAGTATACGACCTTAATCTCCCATCATTTGCTCTTAAAGTAAACGCCTCTTTCTATAGTGTTTTCCGTCGAACAGTTACAAATGTGGGATCGGCAACATCTAGTTATAAAGCTAAATTGATGTTTCCATCTTTCTTGGATATTCAAGTGAAACCAGATGTTTTGTCCTTCACATCTATTGGGCAGAAAAAGTCATTCTCGGTCATAATTGTTGGGAAGATTAATGTGGAAATAACCTCTGCCTCTTTGGTTTGGGATGATGGCAATTATCAAGTTAGAAGTCCAATTGTAATATATGGGAATCCTCCAAAAATTCTATGATCCTGCGTGTGTGTGACCCAAGAAAAAAATAACAGTTAATTTGGAAAGCCGCATGATGGCACTTTCCAAGTTCGAATGCTGCGTTTGTTGCTTCCATTTAATGAAGCTTGTAAGTCTATTAAAAAATATATGCATGTAATGTAAGCTCACTGTGGTGAGCCTTTGTCTGCAATAAAGTCCTCTAGCTATTCGTATCTATCTTATATGTGTTTGTCCCATATTTATATAAGAGCTATAAAATGTGATAAATTATCTTGAACGCGATGTTTAGATAAACATGAAGTAATTTAGGTGCTCCCCACCTACTCCGGGTGTATTATTAATTAAAAATTCTATTTAACGAAGAGAAAGAAAAACTTCAAAGATAATTTAGTTACTATCCCTTTCAATTTTTTGGGCAGTATGATACATTGCGATTATAAATGTGTACCGGCGAAATATTTCAAAAAATTATAAAAAAAACACAAATAATCTTAGAAAAATATCTAGGTCTGGCCAACTACTCAGTAGTGAAGCTCACCTTTACCGGGAGAAAGGGGACAGACTTGGTCAATGTAAGAACTCGCACCATTAAATTAGGAATTTAATTAATTAATTATAAGATTAATGAAATAATTTCATAATTGATCCAAATAATTATAGTAAGTGATTAATAATGATGAAAGTCGCTTTTCTGACGAAAAGTGCAGATACCGGTTCTGCTTCGCGGTATAAGTGCGTACCGGTAAAATATCCCGAAAAATTATAATAAATGCATGAATATCCCTAGATTAATATTTAGGACTGGAATATCAAGTTTGAAGTCAAAATAATGAGAACTGGTGTCAGAACTAATACTGTCAGCGAGAAAAACGCGTACCGAAAAATTGTTGCGAAAATATATAATAAATATACGAAAATTTCTAGAAAAATATCTAGGTTAAGAATCTAAAATTTTAGAATTAAACGAAAAGCGGAACTAATTAAACTAATACTGCTAGTTTAACTTAAGTGACAATATAAATAGAAAAAGGGATCAAAACTCTAAGCTTTTAAAACACTTAGCTATTGCTGAATGTGGCTGTCATTGGGGTCTTCTTGGAGTCTTAGCTTTATTCTCCAAAGTTTTTATTTTTCTCCTCCTCTCCTCTATTGAAACATCACCCAACCATTAAAGCTCTAGTCTTGTTGAAGGAGATCTCATTGTCGAAGGATTTAGGTGCTTTCTCAACCTCTAAAGCTTCCATTTTTATGTTCTCAAAAGGATCCAAGGTAAATTTAACTATTTCCTTTGTAAATCCATAAATTGGTTATACCCCTTGTTACGTGTTACTGTTACAATATCATTTTTGCAATCACTGTGCGCTATTTTTTTCTTCTGTAGATCGCCATATTGTTTTGTCACTTTGTAGTATTGTTTTGCCACTTTACAAGACCATTCACATACTTGCGAGATTTTATTGATTCGGTGGTTTTATTGGTTTTGTTACCCGTTGTCAAGTTATATATATGAGAATTGCATTTCTTCTGCTGACGGAGATTATTGATTTTTTCTGCAGATAGAAACAGTCCCATCAGTTTTTTGAAAAAAAAAAAAAAGTTGGCACGTTTTACGAACTTAGTCACAGGAGATAGTTAACTTAATGTAACATGAGAATTAATTTTGTATATATATATAGGGTTTTATAAGAGTTATGTTGTACGAAAAATGATTGTGTTATGTTATAGAGATTCGTTTTGCGTGCCGGAGTTTTTTTTTTTTTTGGTTTCAAAAATTGTGGATCCCACAAAATATTGTGTGTATAGGAAAGTTGTTGTGATCATGTTAAATGATAGATACAAAACTCATATATATATATATATATATATATATTCATAACTTTATAGATATATTTAAATATAATATATATATTATATATTATCTATTTTATATAATATATATTATATATAATTATATAAATATATATATATATATATATATATATATATATATATATATATATATATATATATATATATACGTGTTTATGTCCAACGAAGTGTGCAGAATATAAAAAAAATGAATATATATATATATAACGTCATTAGCTTTCGTTTCACCCAGGGAGCTGCCTTCGTTTCGTGTTATATATATGGGTTTTATTAGTGTTATGTTACATGATTTAAGTGTTGATTCCAACATACACACAAAAATGGAGAGAGAAAGTAGAATGATGAAAGAGAAAGAAAAACATGTAGACCTCACCTCTTTAATGTGTGTGTAGGAAAGTAATGTTATATCATGTTACATGATAAACATAAAACCCTATATATATATATATAACCGAGAGAGACAAAGTTGTTAAAAAAAAAGGGTATGCTTACTTTTATAATAGTCAGCGTATTCATATATATATATATATATATATATATATATATATATATATATATTGTTACAGGACAAAGTTGTTAAAAAGGGCATGCTTACTTTTATAATAGTCAGCGTATTCATATATACATATATATATATATATATATATATATATATATATATATAAGGAAATATTAGTCTCATGTTACATGAGAGTAGTTCTCTTATGTCATAGAGAGAATTCAAGTGGGATCCACCATTAAATAGAAAAAAAGAAAAAGAAAAAAGAGGGAGTGCGATTTTCGATGTGAGAGAAAATGAGATAACTATCTCATGTAGAATGAGAGTAGTATTTCCCATATATATATATATATATATATATATATATATATATATATATATATTGTTACAGGGAAAACGTTATATATATATATATATATATATATATATATATATATATAAATAAATGTATTTTGTGGCTATATATATATATGTATATATATTTATAAGACAATAATTATCTAAAATTAAATAAGTTAAATAATATGTCTTAGAAAGGATCTCTAGGTTCGAAATGAAAAAGAAAATAATATCTGATCGCCTTGAAATTTTACAATATGTATATTGATACTATGATGGTATTTGAACCAGATTTGTGAGTGCGTTGGGTTCTATTTGTGGTGTGGATCCTAGTGATACCGAGTTCGAGTCAAAGGGGCATACGGGTACAGGTAAGCTTTCGTGTCCTCGGATTGATCTGTTGTTTGTTCCACCGACCTCCATGGGAGGGTGGTTTATAAGCATGGTATGCTTTTATGAAAATGTTATAAGAATTGATATATGCCTGAGATATGTGAATATGTCTGTTGTTTACTTACACAATCAGACTGCGACTCTGGTGTGTAAGGCATGTAGTGTATGGAAGTGATATTGTTTACTTACACAATCAGACAGCAACTCTGGTGTGTAAGGCATAAGACTGCGACTCTTATGTTTAGATGGGTCGCAGACGTGCATAATCCTTGTCCTGGTTCCTGGCCAGTCGAACCACATTTGCATACATCACATGATTACTGAGTTAAATGTTAGCTCGTTGAGCAAGAGATTATAATGTCATGAAATATATGCTTAACATGAACATGCATTGAAATTACTGTTTTGAACTTATATTATGCCTGTAAGTGAGCTTGGGGCAGAAGAGTCCTTGAGGACCCCTTGCTTACTGAGATTTCTTTTTAGAGATCTCATCCCACGTTTGGGGCACATTTTTCAGAATCAGGTACCTCGGGGGTTAATACCTCGGGCGACAGAAGGCCGGAGCTGAGTTGAGATTTATGCTTTTATGATGATATGCTTTGATGCTGATATGTTTTACATTTATTATCATGTTATTGGATTTGAGACTCTGTTGGGCTTTGTTGCCATATTTGGTGAGCATGGGGATTGTCCATGCCACATTGATGTTAGTTATGCTTGTAATTTTGAGTTGTATAAACTATCAGGATGGTTCGGTCTATGTGTTGTAGTTTCGTGACTAGAGACACAATTACTTAATATATGAGGTATTTCAGTTAGTTGTTTGATTGCAAATTACATACAGGCAATGTTTTGAAAATGATTAAATAATCAACTAGGTAAATGATAATGACGTCATAATTGAAAAGAAAAAGTTTATTCCGCATTTTAATTAAGCGTAGCTTAATACGATGACATGATAACAAACCGGGTATACACGGGGTGTTACATTTTATGGTATCAGAGCACTTTCTAGGGAAAAGCCTGTATGTATTGCAATAACTTAGGATGTTTGGTTGTGAGTCTTTTCTGTGTGTTCTCTCTATTGGGTTTTGCTATGATAATGCATATGTGACCATTAGTGGGGATCAACCTGATCCTGTCCTGGCTGCATTGGCTGATATGCAGGCGGCTCGACTAGCCGACCAGGAGGCCATGAGAATGGCAAACCAGGCTATGTTGGACGCCGTCAGAGAGGCGAACAGGAAAGCTACTGAGGATGTTTTGGAGGCGAACCGCCTGGCGAACATGACTATTATGAGAGTTGATAAACCCTTGGTTTACCATGTTTTTAGGCTTAATTATGTTTGATATATATCATGAATTGCATGGAAATTAGGGTTTTATACTGTAAAGTCACAGTAATTGAATATCTTGCTAACATGTTGTCATAATTCTTATTTTAAAGGATTTTTGACACCTATTATGGCATTTTGGAACTAAAAGAAGACATCAAGTTGAGTTGAAGCCATAAGAAAGCAAGATTTCAATTGTATACCAGGTGAAGGAGGACGTTTTGGCGTCCATAAAGCACATTTAAATGCACAAGAGGAAGAAAACAACCAAAACTTCCTGGAGGATAGCGTTTTGGCGTCCAAACAGCACGCCAAAACGCTCTTGAAGCAACCAAAATCCTTCGAAGAACACGTTTTGGCGTGCTACTAGACGCCAAAACGCCCAGAGGCAGAGAACAATACACTAGGAAGACGTTTTAGCGTGCTGATGAGCGCCAAAACGTCCATGCACGACCAAAGCTTACTCCAGGAAAGATTTGATCAAGATATGCAGCGTATTCTATAAAGATACAAAGAGGAAACACATCAACCTTGATTGAGATAAGATATAACTCCAATAGGAAGATGTTATGGAAGATCACAACGAGGATTCAAAGCTCAAAATCATCAACCAATCTCCAAGATATCAAATGCAAAAAGGAAACAAAGACGAAATTCAATCACAAATCTAATACGGATTCATTGGGAGATTTAATGACGGATACAACTCCAATAGTTATAAATAAGGAGCTTGGGATCAGACCAATTCAGACACG